AATAAAACCCTCATTCTGGTGACTCTTGCCTTTTAATTTCCAATCTGGGATTTGATCTGATGATTGTAGTGACCTAGGCATACCTACTACTTAGACCACTACAAACTTTCTAGCCTACTGCACGATCTGTTTGAGCGTGGCCTCCTGTAGGTCTGCCATGGGGAGCAGACAGGCTTAAGGAGAAGAAGAAGATTCAATCGCTACGATAAGAATTTAATTATCACGACGTTTTGGATCTACACTGGAGTCCCTTAGCAGAGACAGCACCAGGCAAGCATACTGGACGGACAAGAATTGCAGTGCTTTAGTGCTCCCCCTTGCTGGCTAACCGAGAGCAGCTGCTTCAGCGCCCCCTGTCCTTCAGTATCCTGTCGAGCGAGACAATCCCGCCGACTAGCAAACGTTTCGCCGAAAGACCATAGCCCCCCCTCCCAGGGTTGAGCTCACCTTAGTCCCAGGCACATTCACAGAGAACATTATCTTGCGCCCATCGACCAGCCTGTCTTGTCACCCTTGGACCTAACTGCTCGCATATCCAGCACTCACTTCTGCCTGCTGACAAAAGCAAAAGCAATCGCTTAAACATCACTCGGCTGCACACACGCTACCGTACAGACGCACTGACCACACGCAAACAAGCAAGCAACTCACGGCATCTTGTCTCGTGTAAGCAATGAATCCCCCCCACTAGATAGTTGCCTTCTTTCTGTAGAATGATCCATTTTAGTGTTTCTGGTTATAGTTGATCGCTCATCCTTTACCGCAACATGCTCATCCATAAACGTAAGAAGTTTATGGATAACAAAAAGCAGGGCAAACATGAACGAGATATATGTACAGTTGCCAAGGAAGAGCATATTACAAAATAAAATTCATTCTGCCGTTTTCACAGGCAGCAAGCTCCTGTTTGTCAAGCTGCACACGCACAATGTGGCGTAAAAAACTATCGTGGGGTCGCCACAGTGCGCGCAAATAGCGCTCAAGTGTATAACGGGAACGTGGTTATAGGGGATAGAATTGATGGGGCACATCGGGGCGCATATGAGTGCGCAGCTGTTCGTATAGGGTGCTGTGGCGGCCGTAAACAAAGGCAAAGCCCATACGTTGGGTGCGGGTCCTGTACATTGTAGGCCTGGACCAAATATACTGGAGGCATAGCTGGGTAAGATGAAGTGCGCGACGTGCACAATCCTATAAGTAGGGGTGACTACAAGTAGATGACCAAAGTAAGGCAGGTGTTTTGAATACAAAGCGTAGGCGAAGTACGCTGGGAAATAGCTGCAACAGCTGGGATGCAGCCCGTAGACAGCAAGCTAAGGGGGGGGAAGAGCATCGGCCACAGACTACTGACATTTGTAAGTAAGCGTTTATCATACATGTCCACGTTCAGAGGACCCCTCTACAATGTGAACCGTACTGTGCACTGCAGGCTTCCCGACTAGGGCGTCACCACACGCATCCTGTAGGTTTCTACATGTGCCACATGTCGGGGTGCTACAAGGTGTATTTCGTGAATGCTCTGGTTATCAAGAATAAGCCTCTCGCGGACCCAAACCAAGTCTGACAGACTGCCCTGGTCGCTGTTGTTGTAGAGAAGAGGGCTGTGCTCAACGAAGGCATACCGCTGCGCCAGTTTGCTGCACGGTATTAAATGGCCCTGCCTGGGCCCCTCAAATGGGTGAGACCATCCGGATACGGGGCAGTCGACCTTGCCAATTTTCGGCTGCATAATAGCCGCAAAGGTGTTTCTTGGCGCTGGGACCCAGTGCTTGTGGAATGGCCGGAATATCAGAGGAAAAACATCGGACATGGCACAAGTCTGACGCACATCACCGTATAAGGCAATTTCTTGCATATGGGTTGCATTGGTGGTGTAGTAACCAATATCAATTGAAGGCCAACCCCAGGCATAGTGACTCAGTTTGCGGCTACCTTCGACATCCCGCGAGGTATTTTTGGGTTCAATCAATTTTGCGTAGATCTTGTCCCTGAGTTTAGCTTGACCAATGATAATTTCGGGTGCGAGCTTAGACATCTTGTTCCACAGCGTCTGCCTGACCTTGAAATCAACAGCGACATCAAGGTCATCGTCCCAGGGTATGTTATCGTGGTGGCGAAAAGATCCAACCAGGCTGCCACCCCAGATCATCCATTTGTCAC